CTTTTGAATGGTAGTGTATTGTTAAAAAAGGATTTCTATTTTAAATAAATGCTGTTCTTTTTTTTTTAACTCTTTATTCATCAAAGAATCCTGAAAAAAGAATCAGTTCATAAAAAAAAAATTAAACAGCACAACTGTTTCAAAATTGATTATAAATAAATTAGAATGATTTCTGAAGAATCATGTGACACTGAAGACTGGAGTAATGATGTTCAAAATTCAGCTTTGCATCACAGAAAAACATTATATTTTAAAGTATATTAAAACAGAAAACCATTATTTTAAATTGTAATACCAGTAATACTGCACAATATTACTGTTTTGTATTTTTGATCAAATAAATGAAGGCTTGATGAGCAAAAGATATGCAATGTTTAAAACATTAAAATAGTAATGTTTCCAAACTTTTGACCAGTACTGTACTTCTGTATGATAACAGACAGCTGGCTAGCAGAAAGAGCATCACAGCTTGAGCTAGTTTATACCTCATAAATTGTCAATGAAATAGTGCTAACTCACTTAGATTTTTCATATCTTGATTTTACTGGCTAGCTAGCTACTGTATAAACACTTTTAAAACTAGTAAAACTTGAATCCCATAGATCAAATATATTTAGAATATCAAAACTTGGATGTAGTCAATGGGCTCAAATGCAGCAAGTGTGGCTTCAGAGAAAATGCAAATTTAAGTCCCCAGTTCCTGCAATTTTGCAAATTTCCAGTTTATTCCCATTAATTCCCGTTAATTTGTAGTAATTTGTAAGAAGCATTGTAGTAATAATATGCCTGTAATTTTGATGTTGACCAAGGCTTATTAGTAAAAACCAGTTGACAACACAGTCGTGGGTGTGAATGTGGCAGCATTCGTGTTTGCCCTGTAGGTGACCCAGGCTTCAGCAGGCCTTCACGAGAGCCCATAATCCTCAGGTGATGATGTCACTGTCTAGATTTAGCCTTCATCCAATTAAGGCGGAACACCTTGTACAGAAGGGGAGGAGCCTGCGGGAGACGGCCAGGGAGATGAGCAGGGAGGCCTAGTTTCTCACTATCCTCTGTCAATCAATAGCCTCAGTTTAATACCTTATCTAACAGCTAAGCTTCACTTGCATAATCGCACGATAGGTGTAAATGTTCTCCAGGTGCTTTAAAACCAGGACTGAGGTGCTATTATTTAACTTTCGCAATCAGTGGAGCTGGCCTGGCAGGGAAAGATGGTAATCTTCCACCGCGGCCGACCTTTAGCAGGTGACATCACCTTTCAGGCGCCCTGCCAAGCTGAGGGTGTCGTACTGTTACACACACAGACCTTTGGTTTCTCACATGTACACCTTCTCACTTTCTTACTTGCGTTTAGATACACCCTGTGTTTGCAAGGCTGTGTAGTGCTGTTTCTACATTAAATGATCAATATAATGTGTTGTGAAGTCCAAAGCTCAGCTTTACTTGAATGAAAGGGAATATGACATCGTCATACTGTAGATAGAACTGACTGAAGTCCATTGATGTGGATTTGAAATCAGGTCAGTGCTGTTTAGAATAAAGGCCAGGTTAAGTCAGATTTTACCTTTTCTATTCTAAGGTGGTGTTTTCTTACTATGTAATGAACAACTGGTGTTTTTTAGTGGCTAAAGGTCCGTTCGCACCAAGGATGATAACTATAATGACAACTTTGACTATAAAGGGTTAAGAATCATTGTAATTTTGTGAGAATAAGTCCACACCACAACTATACTGATAACGTCACAGAGGAACGATGTCATTGGAATCACATTCAGAATGATTTTCTTTTTTCCAGCTGATGAATGATAAAACCATTGAGAGCCAATCAGAATCCAATTGAAGAGGTCAAGCGTTTAAAGTTAGCAGCTCATCAGAAATTGAGTGACGTCATCATATTCACCCAAAAATGAAAATTCTGCCATTTTTTTTACTCTGAATCAACTGAATAATTAAAAAAAAAAAGTGATTCAAATTGATCAGATTTTGTGTAACTGATTCATTTTAAAAATCTGGCTCAAAAGAATGATTCATTCACAAATCAGACATTGTTATTAGTGATGATGCACTGAAATTTCGGCAACCAAAAATGTAATAAGTCTGAATGTATATGTGTTTGTGTGTGTGTGTGTGACCCTGGACCACAAAAGCAGTCTTAAGTCGCTGGGGTATATTTGTAGCAATAGCCAAAAATACATTTTATGGGTCAAAATTATTTTTCTTTCATGCCAGAAATTATTAGGATATTAAGTAAAGATCATGTTACATGAAGATATTTTGTAAATTTCCTACTGTAAATGTATAACAAAATTATTATCATTAGTAATGTGCGTTGCTAAGGACTTCATTTGGACAACTTTAAAGGCGATGTTCTCAATATTTGTATTTTTTTTGCACCCTCAGATTCCAGATTTTCAAATAGTTGAATCTCGGCCAAATATTGTCCTTTCCTAACAAACCATACTTATTTATTCAGCTTTCAGATTATGTATAAATCTCAATTTCAAAAAATTGACCCTTATGACTGGTTTTGTGGTCCAGGGTCACATATATATACACCGATCAGGCATAAGATTATGACCACTGACAGGTGAAGTGAACAACACTGATTATCTCTTCATCACGGCACCTGTTAGTGGGTGTGATATATGAACATTTTGTCCTCAAAGTTAATGTGTTAGAAGCAGGAAAAATGGGCAAGCGTAAGGATTTGAGTGAGTTTGACAAGGGCTAAATTGTGAAATTGTGCTAGACGACTTGGTCCATATAACCAACTCAGTTGTTGCTACACTCCCATGCATTCCTGTTAATCGCCAAAATTGTGTTTTCACCTCCTGCATGACTGTCCTCTTCTCATCCCTTTTTTTATCCCTCCATCTTTCCTCATCTTCGTCCTCTGTCACTGGCCTGGTTTCTCCTCCCCTCCTCTCCTCTCTGTCTGTTTTCTCCCATAGTGCTCCAGTATTGTAGTGAGTCATTCTGCAGCGGCTCTGGCTGATGGTCATGTGATTAAAAACTGCCTGACAACATTGAGACAGTGGGGCTCGCGTGCAGCACACACACAGACACACACCGCTTCACGCTCCCGCTGCATGGCAAACGCACACACACACACTCAGATTCAGGTCTTATGCACTGGTGCGCGCGCTAAAGCCTCACAGTCTCCACTTTATGTGCACACGACGTGTTTTTCTGCAAAAAGTTCGCATTTGGAGAAGATCCCACACCTTTGCTCTCGATTCTCGCATGTTTGTCTGTTTCACACTCTAATGCATGACGTTATTAAAAATCTAATGCATATTAAAAAGCTCATGCGTTTTTTAAAATGCATTATAATAATCTGTGTCAGAGAACAGCAATTGATTGATATACCAGACAGATTGATTAATCGGTCGATAATCGCACACGCATGGCCAAAATGTTGTCTCCCCCTTGTGTCAGTTCCTCAATCCATCTGTCTTGTTTTTGAGTGTAATCTTTTCATAATATATTATTTTTATAAGCATATTAATGTTCAATTCATATTTATTATATTATTAAACTGTACAATATATTGTCAATTCCACAGTCCATCAACCTTACCAATATAATAATATGCAAATATATATTATTCAAATATTATTAATTATTAATGTGTGTGTGTACACACAAGTATTAGTTATATAGCAATAATTATTTACTATATTATGTAAACAAACAGATTAAAATGCATTCCATATATAATATTCAGGGCTGGCAAAATCGCTAGCCCGACGTCCCGGGTATTATTATTATTATTATTATTATTATTATTATTATTATTTTATTTTATGCATATAAGAGGAATGCATTAGTGTATATATATATATATATATATATATATATGTATATATATATTCACAGTCCTTAGCAATTGATACTGTAAATATAGTAAATATTATACATTGTAAAAATTAAGTATTGTCTAGTATGTTATTCATCATTGCCATCATTAATACATGGTACTAAATATATTTATATTAAATTCATTCACAATCCTGTATGTGTGTGTGTTTGTGTGTGTATATATGTATATAGTATTGAAAATTATATATTACTAAATATTATTTTTGCTCATTTTTGGTACGACATGTTTGCTACAGTATATGTCATCATAGCAGCTTTGCTGTATTGTGAGGATAGTCAGAAGTCTGTTTGCACTCAGCGTACTGTTTCCTCTGCTGTGACGTGTATCTGTGACATCTGACTGATGTGTTCCTGTGTGTGTCTGTGCTCTGAAGGTGGACCTGGGCCGCAGGCAGGAGGTGGTGGTGTACGATCAGAGCACGAAAGACGCCGGTCAGCTTTCCAAAGACAGCTTCGTCAACATCCTCCTGAGCAAGCTGGACGGCAGCTTCCACCGGGTGTCTCTGCTGACAGGTACAGACAGACTCATGATAGAAAACTCCGCAGACTTGAGCTCTGATCTGCTGGAGAGAGACGGGAGTGTGTTGGTCCTGGTTTACACCAGCAGAGGGCGATTCTTACATTACCCAGTCTCAAACACTCTCCTGCTCTTTCTGTCATTCCCTCACATTTACTTTACATGTTTCTGTCTGTCTCTTTAATTTCCCTCATGGCTCTGTCTTGTCTGACTGTTTTCTTTTCCGTGTAAATGAATCAGAGGCCTTGATGATTTATGTTGTTTGCTCACAGACGTTTGAGGAATGCACACACTCAACTGCTCCACTACTTGTTTTGCACCATGTAGTTGTCTAGTTAAACCACTCTTCAAGGTTTGCAAATTGATTTTTCTTTGCATCGTTCCTTGCCGTAGACAACAACGAAATACAGCGAAACTCACCTGAATCTCTCCATTACCACTGTTGTGAAGTTTCTTGTGCTTTTATTATGCTTTTATTTCATGCTTTACTACATTTTATTTATTATTAATATTGGTCACTGAATTAATAGTAATTATTATTGATAATATTAATAAAGAATACGTTTTTTATTAGGTTAATAAAACTAGCTATTTTGAAACAATTATTTGTGATGTAACATTAAATAATAATAATAATAATATAAATAAATAATATAACATTTTATGTACATGTTTTAATTATTTTTAATATATAGTTTAATTTTTAATTATTTTCAATAACTTTTTAAATGTGACTTTTGTGTCCTTTTTAAATGCTTTTATTAATGCATATTGATCATTGAATTAGTAGAAAATGTTCTTAAAAAATGTGTTTTAATAGTTTTTTAAACCATTTGATGTAACGTTAATAATAATAATAATAATAATAATAAACAGCAGAATTTCATGTACATGTCTAAATTGTTATTTTTAATATGTATGTATATTGCGTTTGAGTATTATATTTAAAAACAAATATGTATTATGTAAAATAATATTTAGTCAAAATACTTAACCGTGGATACTGCAGTAATTATTGTAAATATTTTATAAATATTGTCTAATATATATTATTAATTATGTATTAACAATAATGTATATTTAAAATTATTTATTGTGTATTTAACACAGACACACATATATTACATAATATATATAATAACATAGTATTGTTAAAATATTATAATATAACATTATAAGATATAAGGTATTATTGTATATCTTAAAACAATATATTGTAGTAATATATATTAATATATTGTTTATATTTATATTTAGATACTTTAAAGGGGTCATATGATGCTGCTAAAAAGAACATTATTTTGTGTATTTGGTGTAATGAAATGTGTTTATGCGGTTTAAGGTTCAAAAAACACATTATTTTCCACATACTGTACATTATTGTTTCTCCTCCAT